TAGTTAAAAAAACTCCGAATTCAGTAGTTCCGGTGAATTGAAATTTTTCTCGGGAGATGAGGGTATGAATTAGGTGGGACTGACAAATAGGATTATGCTACTTGACAACATATTGTGAATTCTATTGGGTTGAGTATCAGAATTAAGAGGTTTGGGGTATTAGGTAAAATGGATGATCATGATTTTGTCACATGGCACAATGAGATGAGTCTCGTGTTATGGACCAAAATATTGGGTCCATATCTCAACAGCTTGATAAGTCTATTACTAGTGATGGATATACGGACCAAATTCATAATCTTAACAATAAAGATCATATAACAGCTTCACAACAAATCAATTGAAGCCCCAATCAGCTAACCTATTATAAATAGGGGATTTCACCGTATACACATTTTTTGAACGCATTTACTTCTATTATTATTGTGCATAGACACCACGTCTTAACTAACATTGTGTCATACAGGTGCACAGTGATTCTTATCTTTGCGGTATCTCTATCATAAATACTCATAAATACCATAAGTGTATTGATCCAAAACACGTTGTATGACCTAACTGGACTAATGTCACTGGGCTCAACACCGAAACTAGTCCAATTATGTCTCACAATGGAACTCACGTTGTGCACTGTGGAAAAAAGTGTTCCATTAGATCCGGCAGCGGAATTTTAAATTTGGCACATTGACAAAATTTCTAAACCATGATATTTTAATATATATTTTACTAAAAAGTGAAAAAAATTATCGTTATCCCAATTATGTTTGCCCGGCTTTTAGCATGGGTGGGGAGGCAACTCTCTGAAATTGAAATTTGATTGTGATATATTCGTACACTATTTCAATCCGTTCTTCGCTAGTCGAAGTCATGATTACGATTTATAGAATCATTAACATCATAGTTCAGTTGCGCCTAACTGGAGCCTCATTTTTAAACTTAAAGAAAATTTGGTAGATACTGTGTCAGGTAAATGGCCATTCCTTCTTAACTTTTCAAGCCTTGCCAAATTCTTTTAATGAAACTAAACCGAAGTATCACTTCAACTGCGAAAATACTGAAATCGACTCATGGACCTTATGATGATCGATATAAACCTACTTAATCGCTTCCAAGTTTCGTCTACCACTAAAGTTTTGAGTAAGTAGAATCATTTTTTGACTTTCAACAGTAAAACTGAAATTGATATACTCTGAAATGAACGAGGAAGAAAAAAGTCTGAAACTATAAATTTTACTCGAAAATCAATAAATCAACCAAAGTGGACTCAAAAGAGATTAGGTGATTGTGATTATTGTGTTAGTAAGAAGGGAAATGCAACATGTGATAACTTTCTTTTATGTATATTTTTCGATAATTATGTCACTTTTTTTTCCAGATGGTGGAGCCCACAAATTTGTCTATATGACATGAGATAACTTATCTCCTTCAACATGAACATGAGATTAATAAAACTCTATTAAGAAAGTTTGATCTAGCTATAATATCCCGTTTATCTATATTTATTAATTTTATTTATAGTAACGTTGACTCAAGTTCGGTAAATGCTTAATGACTTAAATTTAATAAAAAAGATTTTATACATGAATATAGACTTAAATTCATCAAGTGTTATTTACAGGGAAAACTTCATAACTCTCATGGGGTTTGCTTTTAATTCATTTCTTCCCTTGAAGTAATTTCTATTTTATTTTTTATGCTCTACCCCCTTGTGCTCAATTATCCCCCTCCACTTATTTTCCATCCAAATTTAACTAACTGTGCTAAAGTTTAAACAAAATTCAAAAACAGTTAAAAATTAAAAAAAAACCAAAATCTATGACTTCATTCTTTCAATTAAAATCTAGGTTTACGGAAAAAAAAAAACTATCGAGGGAGTGTTTGGTGTGTAGAATGTGATAGAAATCTTGAGAAAATGAGGTGTGCAATTTTTGTTTACTATATTTGGTACGGAGAATGTGATAAAAATGCAAGTATAATTTTGTTCCCATGAATCTATTTTTCAACATGACATGGGGAAAAAAATTCTCATTTGGAAAGTAGTATTATTTTTTACCCATAAATCATGAAAAGCATTTTACCCTTTTTAGACAAAATTGCGCTCCAGATGTCTTAAAAATTTGTTGCAAGAAACACAAAATCGTCATTTTACTTCAAAATCACATCAATATTTTACCATCAACCAAACACAACATCAGTAAAATTAACTCAACTTTCATGGTATAATTTTGACATACCAAACACTTTTTCATAACTTAACTGAGTAAAAATATTTACCACCATATTCTTAGAAAAATATTTCTCAGTAAACAAAATATCTCCTCCACCAAACACTCTCTGTAGCTGGTGTGACACTAGAATTCCCTCACTTGTTCATCAACCCGGTAGTTGCCATTCCAGCCTTACAGTGGACAACCACGACATTCTCGATGTCTTCTTTCATCCATGAGTACGCACTTTGGCAAAATGATATAATTAGTTGAATTGGTGGGCAATTATATATGATCATCAAATGGGAAGCTAGCTACCTGAAGAATGAATTTGATATTTCAGATACAAGAAGCTATTCATACAAATTCCATAGGAATACAATGTGGTGTAAAAACGTAAAACTCAAGCTAAAAGAAACATGACACAAGCAGTCTAGGCTGTCTAGCATCATGATCAAAAGTGGGAACTTAGTCATATACTCATACAACTCAGTATGAAACAAAGAAATATGAAAATCAAAGTCAATCTACTCCCTAGTCACAACAATAAAGGCTAAAATGTTCATCATATACAGAACAATTAATTATATGACAAGATTTAATAGAGAGTAGGAAAATGTCTGCAAACTTTAGGGATATATAAACTCAATAGCAGCTATGAAGTTTGATCTTGAGAACCAGAAAACAAAAAACACTGCTTAGTCCAACTTTGCTTATGCATTAGATAATAATTGTCATATGACAAAAGTTATCCGCGAATAGTCTCCAGAGATAATCTTCACACTTTTATTAAGGAAAGGAAGGAAACAAAGAACCGGAGATTAAAACAATCATTCCGACAGAAGAGACAATAAATTGTTCAATTGAGGCAGCATTACAAGAATAAACACAAAGTAAATTAGATTGAACAAGAACAACACAACCTGCATAGATTTTGGCTTTTTTATTTATTTTTAACTTTTTTTCAATTTTATTTAAACTTTAATACCGTTAATTAAATTTGGATGAAAAATAAGTAGAGGGGGGTAAATGATTTAGAAGCAAACTCTTGGGGGATTTATGAAGTTTTTCCCATTTACAATTCTTGAAGTATAATTTTATATTAGGTTTAAGGGATATTTTAGTTCTTGTCCAATTAAAAATGCCTTATTTATTATTACTGTTGTGGTCCGGCCGAATGACCCTTCAACTAATCTAAATAGCTGCTCGGCAGGACCACCATCACTTGACATGTGAAGTACATGACTCTCTTGTGCACATATTCCTTCATACTTTGCACACATGCATTATCCTTTACATATCATGAATTATGCAGCTTCACACCTAATGAGGTTCACAGGGATGAAAACAGTTATGGTATAACATTTTGCGCACTTGGAGGAAATCTCCAACCTCCTATATAAAAGAACCTTAGTTTCCTCACTATTCATCTTCTCCATTATTGTTACTCTGCTGAATTATCTACTTAGCAATAACCGTAACCCTTAAATTCCTCCCCTTTACACCCTCATTTAGACTGAGACCAGTATAGTGACACCTCATAACTCTGATATATACCATTGCCTCAATGGGGGATACAGAGAACTTCATACTCTGATTCATTTGAATTCCTTAACTAATTTCGCATGAATTATATTGAATATTAACTGTTGCGAGTTCTGACCTATGTATAAATTGTGGATATTGTCGACAACAAACTCGAGATAAACAAATTTATAATCTATCCCAATTAAGTTCGTGTGTTTGTTTATTTAGGGAATACTATGTTTTCTCTTCTTTCGTTTTGCACCTTTTGTGTCAATCAACTTTGTAAATACCAATATTCGCAATGAAAAGCAAAAGATATAAGATGCTAAGCTTTGTGTGTTTGTGAGAAATTTGGTATCTCACTTGAAGATTTCTGGGCAGTTAATCAGTTGTATCATATGTTGTTTCTTTCCGATACAGTTTTAATTCCATTAAGGGATGACCCAATAAGAATATTTAATATTCCGGGTTCTATGTCTCCACCAAGGTCGTTGTTTTCTTCCCACACTCGGGGAATGATTGTGTAAAACTTTACAAAATTATTCTTGGCAATGTACACTTGGAAGAATGATTCTTTTGTTTGGCATAAGTTAAAAAGAAAAAAATATTTATGGATATTAATATTTGCCAAAAGTTATACTTATTACTTATTTTTTATTATTATTATTAAATTTCAACTGTTGATTTCCACTAATTTAATGGTTATAATATACTAAAAATTAATAATTAATTAATAAATACGATATCATAAATTAAAACTGTTATATTGACGAAAATCAACGATTAAGATTTAGTAGTAAAAGGTAGTAAGAAAAAGAGATAGTAAATATAACCTCCCCTTAATACATTATCAAAATGATTTACCTAAAAAAATAGTATTTCGTATTTTTTTTTACAACTACCATTCAATAGAATTGAAACAAACTAAATTCATCTATTTAAAATAATAGATCAAATAAAACAAGTCACTAAATAGAATAAATTAAGTAGATACAAATCTACTATTTTGAATAAAAGATATTATAATCTTATCCTGTTGTTTTAAATCGAAAATATTTATGTAAACGAGTTTCAAAAATTTAAAAAAGTCTTGTTAGTTTAATAGATAACTATGTACTTACATACGACATTTTAGGGAGAGAAAAAGAAGCGCGCAGAATCACACACATTTGCATTTCACTCAAACTCAAATTTTTTATGATTAAAAACCCTATTGAAAATGAAAACCCTCATTCACTTTCTCTCTCTATAATCATAACTAATTCAATTAATCTTGCATTCGCTCCGCCATGCCTCCTCCGCAGCCCCGTCACCTCCGGCAGCCGAATCACCGGCTGGACCCGAAAATATGGCGTGCGTGCGCCGGCGCAGCTGTCCAAATCCCGAGGGTGCATTCTAGGGTTTACTACTTCCCCCAGGGCCACGTGGAGCACGCTTCTCACTCTCCTCACTACCTATCGCATGTCCTCCGTTCACCACCCTTCATTCCCTGCCGCGTCTCCGCCGTCGACTTCCTCGCCGATCCCGTCTCCGACGAGGTCTTCGCCAAGATCCTCCTCACTCCTATCGCCGACCTTTTCAACGAACCACCCGAAGAACTCGGCGACAGTTACGGCGACAAGGTCGTCTCCTTCGCCAAGATTCTCACGCCCTCCGACGCCAACAATGGCGGCGGGTTCTCCGTTCCCAGGTTCTGCGCTGACTCCATATTCCCGAAGCTCGACTTCGATGCCGACCCGCCTGTCCAGGTCCTTTCCGTCACCGACGTTCACGGCGTCTCGTGGCAGTTCCGCCACATTTACCGCGGGACTCCCCGGCGGCACCTGCTCACCACCGGCTGGAGCAAGTATGTGAACCACAAGAAGCTCGTCGCCGGCGATTCCGTGGTTTTCATGAAGAACTCGAGGGGGGAGATGTTCGCCGGGATTCGTAGGTCCTTGCGATTCGCCGGTGCTGGGAGCAGCAAGGTTGAAGATGAGCAGCAGAAGGTGGTTGCGTCGGCGGTGGAATCGGCGGCGCAGAAGGTGCCGTTTGAGGTTGTGTATTATCCGAAGGCTGGTTGGTCGGATTTCGTGGTGAAGGCTGAGGTTGTGGAGGAAGCAATGAAGACCTTGTGGTGTCCTGGAATGAGAGTGAAGATGTCTATGGAGACTGAGGATTGTTCCAGGATGACATGGTTTCAGGGGACAGTGTCTTCTGTCTCTGCTCCTGATAATGGGCCTTGGCGCATGCTTCAGGTATGCTTCGCTTTTTGTTTTTTTGTTTTGCCTTGTTATCTGTTTCATGCATGATATTGTATTTTGGTCGGATAAATATTACTCTTGAAGTTGATAGCTGGTAGTATATATGGTTTGTAAAACATTTTCTATCAACAGGTAGTTATGGTTTAATTGCTGAATTTGTCATTAGATGCAGTTTCTATCTAGCGTATTTTGATGGACATCATATTGACAGTTGAAAGAGTCCAGTTATGTACCACCTTTGAGAGGGGTTTTAAAGTCTTAATCCTGGACCCGCCCCGAATCGGATTAGTTGCGAAGCAATGAATCGATTGGAATATTTCAAAAAAAAAAAAAAGAGAGTCCAGTTATGGCATTAATATTAGATATTTATTTGCACTGTTTTTCTTAAAATACAGTTTTCATTACAAATCTTTTGGCCTTTCTGTTTAACTTAATTCCAATGCCACCGGGCATTGAGAGAGTAATAAGAGTGAAGAGAATTCTTCCGGACGTGTCTTTGCAATTGTGTCTGTAGGAAATACACAGGCTGTTTATCAGAACTCAGAAGATCAATGCATTTTTTCCCCTCGTGTACCTACATGTGATACTTGATTATACTTGCAATTCCAAATTCTCTACAAGTGTTACCGGGAATCTCACCCTCCATGCATGTGTCTGTGTGTAAAAATATATTTTGGGCAAATTCCTAGGGATCTATTTTTCCTGCAATTTCTTATTTGATGAGTCTTAGTATTTATGTAATTTTTGACAGCATATTGTTTAAATTGACAAGAGACCTTTGCCACAGAAGATTTAGTATCATCATAAATTATCATCTATCTCAAAGGACTGATATTGGCTTCTTACCATATCTGATCTCAATATCATAGGTTAACTGGGATGAACCTGAAGTCTTGCAGAATGCAAAGCGGGTCAGTCCTTGGCAAGTTGAACTTGTTTCCTTCACGCCTGCACTTCATAGAACATTCCCCCCAACAAAAAAGTTTAGATTTGCTCAGGGTTCTGGGCTGTTAAGTGATAGAGAGGGAGATCCCTTTTTTCCTATGACAGTGTTCCCGAATTCAACAATTGGACACTTGAATCAAACATTGTTGAGTTATGATACTTTTCCTGCTGGCATGCAGGGAGCCAGGCATGATCTCTTTTCTGCATCAAGTTTTTCTAACTTTTTAAATGATAACTCTTGTCTGCATATGGGTACTAGTTCATTAGGGAACGATACAGTGCCAAGGTCAAGAACTGTGCCAACAGAGCTAAACATTGGCAGTTCTCAATCTGATGAATTGTCACCAGATAGGCCAGATAGCCAGAGTAGTTTGCATTCCTTTGGCACAGAGTTTTTTGGGACCCACAACAGCATGACCACTAAATTTGGTTCTGGTTCAATTCTGCTATTTGGTAAGATCATACAGCCGGTTCAAAGTGGTTTGCGTGATGCCGACTGCATGAGAGATCACGGCAGTAAGGGCTGCAATGAAACTGAAGGCATTGACAACCCACTAGATAATTCTGTGACTTACTCAAAATTGCACAGCAGGCTTGATGTCCAATGTCAACGAGCCCCACCAGTTGAGGCATCTTATTTTTGAAAGTAGTTATGCAGATAAGTAGCTGTACAGGTATGATAATATCTGATTTAATTGAATTTGGCACTATTCCAATGATAAAAATCAGCTATTGCTGCGTGATTGACAAATGTTGTATTCAAGAAATGGATTACTTTATCTCTATGTGTTTTATTGAACTTTCTCAAATCTTAGTTGGATGGATACCTTATTTTATGATGGAGGGGTTGTTCTGACCAAGTTCTAGTTAAATTTGATTGTGTGCTCTTACAAGTTGATTTATTATTAATGTAGATCTAAATTTCCCCACTAAGTGTGTGTGATGTATTTATGTTACTTTAATTTTGATCGACTTTAATTAATAATAATTTTTCCTATAAATGAATTATCTTTTGCAATTTCTTGATATAACATGGGATATTAAAGTTTGTGATGAAATGTATCAAACCAAAGTCATTATTCATGCTTTACTTGCAATACTGTTAAGTTGAAAGCATGATAGGAATTTCATCTTGTTTAGAACATGATCTTCTTTGTTTCATAATTAATCTGAACTCCTGAGTATTGTGAACTGGTTCATTTTCCGCCTGTTTCTGACTATCTGAGTTGAAGGGAGGTTTTTAATCCAGTCATAAGATTTTATTTTTCAAATCAATTTTAAGAGTAATGCATCTTAGAGCCAAAATGGAAAATCCCGAGGCTCTTGATTTTGCAAGGGTAGGTGTGAGGGATAATTATTCACAGCCTTATCCTTGTATTTTTGCAAAGAAGCTGTTTTCTATACTCGAATTCATGACCATCCGATTAGAAAGGAGTCACAAAGGAGAAAGGAACAACTTTATTGCGTAGTATTTAGAAGGTGTAGTTTCTCATTGCATAAAATTCAATGACCCAAAATGAGAATGTATAATTTTTGCCTCCGAAGTGAGTCTCTCCACTCTCTGTACTATTGAACAGTGTATCCTGGTTAGCTTGATTTGTTGTTTGGTTCACGGTTAGTCCACGATTATGTGACTAAAATCCATGTATCAATTAATTTTTGCTTAACTGTGATTGCCTTTCATGCAGGTACTTACAGCTGACAGGCAGTTAGACAGACAGGAAGCTAACAACTCTTTGTCCTTGCAAGTTGCAAGTGTTATATATGTTTCGGGGTTATCTTTTGTTGGTCTTGTTGCAAGTGATGATTTAACTTCGTGATATTTGGTCTAAGTGTATCATATAAATACCTGACATATTGTGTATATTTTCAAATACAAATTTTCTATATTTTTTTTAACCATAGTTATCAAATGCGGATTGCGGCATGTCGTGGCCAATCCCGAAAAACGCTATAGAGTTATAGCGGGTTGTGGTTGCGGAAATAGCGGAATAGATATATGACAAAAATAATGATAAAAAGAAATTTTTTTAAAGGCAGAGATAGTAGAAGTGATATAGAATAGACTAAAAAACCCTTAAATTTTTTCTATTGCACATTTAAATTTAGGACAAAATTGACATTTTACCTTATCACAGAAATATGGCCGCAAATGTGATCGCAATGGTCGCTATTGCGTTCCGGTTTGGCGCGACACAATTTTTTGCGGTGAGGCACCGCAACGCCCATACGGCGTGGCTTGCGGCGCTATTGCGACGCAATTAACTATTATGTTTTTAACATGTGCTTCGATATTGGGATAATATGATTGAAGACTCCCTTGTTCAAACTTTTTACAAACAAGATCAAAGAACCATATCAAGTAAATAGAAGAAAATTAAAGGAGAAGAAGAGAGAGAGAAGCCTTGAGCAAAAATTTGAATTGTGATTAATTGATCTGATACAAAAGGAATAGTTAGTTAATAGTTGGTTCGTTACAACCACTGTTACTAATATTTTCATATTACAACCACTGAAACTAAACAGTGGTAACATAGTTACTGTAAAATAACAGGGTAAAAGTAAAATTATTATATTCATATTACGCCCTTCCAAACTCAGGATTGATGGAGAAGGTTCACTGAATCCACAACCAAGAGTTTGTCCCTAAGCAATCGGAATTTAGGAGCTCCAAGAGGCTTGGTCAGAGTATCAGCTACTTGATCAATGGCTGGAACATGAAATACATGCAGTTATTTAGCTAAAACTTTCTCTCTAACAAAATTTTCTCTCTCCATATGCTTTGTCCGAGTGTGAAGGACAGGGTTGTGAGATAATGGCACTATACTCATTGTCACAATAAATGAGGGAATGTTGGTTTGAACTTGCTGCTCTTTAAGAAGCAATTTCAGCCAAATAACATCAGCTGTAGCCACTAGTCAGAGCTAGGCTTCTGAATTCTGTCTCGATACTTGAGCAAGCAACAACAGTTTGCTTTTTAGACCACAATGGTACAAAATTGGATCCAAAAAAGAAACATGCTCATGAGGTGGATATGCGGTCATTTGGGTCACTGATGCCGTGATAGAAAATTGGCTACTAGGATGACTTGATTTCAGATTCAATCCGTGAGAAATGGTACCCTTCAACTACACGTCAAAATGTGTTTGAAAATGGTCCAATGTTTCTCCAAGGCTTGAGCTATGAATTGGCAAACCTTGTTGAGTGGATTACTAATCTTAGGTTTGGTTCATGTGGCATATTGCAATGCACCAACTATTGACCGAAAAAGGGAAGTAGTTAGAGCCATGTGTGGATAATTTACACCTTTTGAATCTGACATTTTAGCTTTGAGCAAATCTTTGGGGGCGTTTGGTAGAAAAGAAATTTTTTTTTATCCGAAAATTATAATTCTTGAAAATATGATGGGAAAGTGAATTTTTTGATCATATTACCAAAAAGTTGTTTGGTAGGCTGAAATATTCTCGGGAATGTTGGGTTAATTTTCCTGATATTATGTTTGGTTATTTTTGTCTAAAAAATTAATCTATATTTTCCCATCATCTGGGATTCCTGAAATATCACCCTTTGGATGATATTTTTTGGTTTAGAAAATACACACAAAACGGAATTCCGGGCAAATAGCTTTCCCGAAATTTTTTTATCCAATGTGCTACTAAACATGGAATTCTAGGAAACCCACCCTCACTTTAAAATGGATCTAAAAATAATCCTCCAACCAAACACCCCCAAATCTATTTAGACTGAGAGAGAAGTAGAGCACTAGAATATGTTATCTTTACTTCTACACCAAGAAAGTAATCGAAAGCGCTAAGATCTTTGACGACAAATTGTTGAGTCAAGCTGCTAAATCAGACTGTATATAAGCTGGATCACTCCCCCGTAACGATGATATCATCCACATCGAACAACATATAAACACAATAAGTATTGCCACAAAGTATGAACAGTGAGGGATCACATTTGCTTGCATAAAATTCGAATTGCAGCAGTGCACTTTTTAGTTTATCAAACCGGGCTCTAGGTGTCTATTTTCGTCCATAAAGTGCTTTATTAAGCTTGCAACACAAGAGACTTGTCAATAGATTCTAATAATTAATTGTTTCACAATTAGAAGAAAATATTTCAGAATAATTGAAATTGGCCTATTGATGAAACTTGATAGAAACCATCCTAGCCTTATATATATATATAGTGCCATCCCGACTCTCCTTAACTCTAAAAACCCATTTACATCCTATTACTATTCGGTTAGGAGGGAAAGGAACAACGGTCCGAAGTGCATCATATTCTGCACGGAGAAGCAGAAGAGTGTTGAGAAGAAGAGGAAGGATTGTTATTGTTACCTGTTTGCGAGATAGGGGATCCAAAACCTTGAGTAGAAGAAACAACTTGAGGAGAAGGTGAGGAAACAAGCTTGTGAAAGGCTGCTGTTTGCTGGGAAGCAGAAGCTTGGGGGTTAGGTATAGAAGAACTAGAACAAAATTGTGAACTGCACCTATTGGTTGAAGCCCTTGAACTAGAAGTGGAGGAACTTTGTGTTATTAGTGGGTTGATGCTGCTAATATAAGAAGAAGAGGAGTTAGATTGCAAGTAGTTTGTTTTAAACCAAGAGGGATAGAGGAACCTGTTTTCATTGAACACATTTTTGGAGATAAACGGTTTGCCATATGAGTTAAGGCATTTGTATAATTTGTGATTAGGAGAGCTTATGTCTGTTATATGGCCAAAGAAAATGGAAGCATGGACATCCAAACACCTTCGGTCTTCCTTTTGTATCATATCAATTAATCACAATTCAAACTTTTGCTCAAAGCTTGTCTTTCTCTATCTCTCTCTCTCTCTCTTCTTTTTCTTCATTACTTTCTTTCATTTTCTTTGTGGTATAAGAGCCACTATGATCATAGGGTCACAAATTTGATCCTCATCGCTTCTCACTTTTTAATAAAATTTAACATAATGTAGAATAAAAAAAAAAGACATGTGCAATATTTATGTTTCAAAATCAAAAGACTTTTACTAAGGAGATATGTTAGATAAATTATGTATAAAATAATAACATATCCCTTATTTAACACCACACAATATAATTATGTGGTCATTGTGGGTAAAGAGGTTAATTTGATGTTCGCTGTTTATTTTTCTCCATTCTATCATTTCGTATCTGGAAAGGGCGAATCAAAGCTAATTCTAGCTTCCTAGGAAGCAGTCTTGACTCGTGGAATATTTTTTGACTTTGTCTGGGGAGGATTAATGCAAATTTTTCAATCATGAGTTTTATATTATCTTTGCCCTCTCTTGGAATTTGTTAACCTCCCAAAAATACTTCGTTCCTATAAGAGCAAACAACAGCCTGAAGTCTTCTAAATTTTCTGCATGACCTAGATGTGTCAAAAAAACCTGGGTGGTTGACATTGACTTGATTACTAAATAGCACATTTAATTTCAAATGTGTGCTTTTGTGCTTTTAAGAGAAAATAAGCTAAAAAAAACCCCACCAAACAAGACTCGCCAAATTGGCACTTAGTCATAAAAGAATGAAGATTCTTAGTCCGGTTTAGTTATCATAGCAGATAATTTTCTGAACATAGTAAGTGTATTTATCATTTAACAAGTGATATTTGGATAAAAAAATATTTTTTTTTTTTTCCTTTTCCATACAAGTATCATAATTATTTCTCAATTTTTATTGGCTAGATGCACTGAGTGAATAGTACAACAATAATATTGCAAATATTTTCCATAGTTCAATGGCAGTTTCCAACAAAGCCAAATATATTTTTGTAAAAATTCTTATTATCATAATAAAAATGCTTTTCTTGAATGAAAAAAAAGGTTAGCTATTAAGAGGATTTTTTTTAAAAAAAATTATAAATTATTTTACCAAATAATTTATTTTAGCTTAAATTTTAAAATATCTTTTAAGCTAATTTTTTTTATAAGCACTTATTTTTAATTTTAACTCAAAACACGCCCAACAGCATAATCAATTCCTACCGCTCGAAGGTAGTCAAGACTCTATTCTCCCGTATCATTTATCAAAAAGACTGCGAATATTGGTCCAATGGTCCTACATGATGCCGTATCTTTTATCATCAACAGAAAAATTAATATAAATGTCAACAAGCTTGTAACTAAATTGATACTAACCCAAGTCTTTAATATTTAGGTATCATCTTACCTAGGTGCTTGTACCTTGTACGGAACAATATATGGCCAAAAGCTAGCATAAAAACAAATCATAATTAATCATAAATTGAGTTTGACAAACTAGTTACAGAGAGCACTAAATAGAGTAGAAGGAAGATGGATGGTCGGATCCCTCTAGTTGCATTCCATTCACGGCTTAGTTTTCTGAAGTTAACCAACATTATGTACAAGGTGTGTAATATTCCAATCGCACGAGTTTTTGAGGCGTGTTGCCTGCTACTTGGGAGTTTCTTCATTTATTTCAATCAATGAATCACTGCCTGTTCTACAGTCCAAGACCCCATGTTTATCATCTCCAACATATCTCTTCACAATTTAATGATCTCATCTGCAATGGAAGGAAGCAACCATCAGTATCCACGACCATTTCTACACCTTAAATTAAGAGTAATACAAATTAGCTACATCTTGTTCCAAAATTTATTTATTTATTTAGGTACAAGAATGTTCCAAAATTTTGACTGAATAAAAACACACTAATGAGATCAACTACCAAACACGAGACTAGAGAAACTATCAACTCAAACATCCTGGTTGCTTGGAAACCCTAGGGCAAAACAACATGTATTAGGATCCCTGTTACTCCTTTCTATTTCAATACATGTTAGTTGCTTGGAAACCCTAGGGCAAAACAACATGTATTTGGATCCCTGTTACTCCTTTCTATTTCAATACATGTTAAAAAACCCTTGAATTTCTTAGTGCTCCATGCTATATAAAGACAAAGCTGCGCTTTCAGAAAATCAGATTCCAAGGCAAAGAACTCATTATCATACCCAAAACCTGAGCAGAAACTTTTTAACACCTATTCATAGGATGCAAGGTGCAATTTTGAGTGAGAGGTTATAACGAATATGCCCAAAGTGATTCAGCCCAAATGACAAACCAGAAGACCTGAGTATCTAGAAGATTACACAACTTAAACCCAATCAGCCTTTAGCCTATCCTTTACTTCATTCAGTTATCTTATTTTTATATTCTGAATTGATTGTTATCTTGATTTTTTAGGATTGGCTTTCAGCCTCTAGATTAGGATTATCTACGATGAATTAGATTAGCTTTCGTATTATATTTTGGCTATAAATATGGCCCTTAGTTATGAATAAAAAGACACGCTGAAGTTTAAGTCTTCATCTTCTCCCTCATATAGTCTCTTGTTCCTCCCTGTTTCTCTTCAACTATCTTTTCTACCTGCTTCATTGATCAGCCCAAACGATAAACCAGAAGACCTGGGTATCTAGAAGACTACACAACTTAAACCCAATCAGCCTTTAGCTTATCCCTCAGTTTGTTCAGTTATCGTATATATAGATTTTGAATTGATTGTGAACTTAATTTTTTAGGATTAGCTTCAGCCTCTAGATTAGGATTATCTACGATGAATTGGATTAGCTTTGGTATTGTATTTTGGCTATAAATATGCCCCTTAGTTATGAATAAAAAGACACGCTGAAGTTTAAGTCTCATCTTCTACCTCATATATAATCTCTTCTTCCAGCATGTTTCTCTTCAACTCTTTGTTTGTATCCGCTTCATTGGTACTTTCATTCTCAAACTCTACACCCGCAATTCCAGAAAACACCCATCTGAGTGCAGAGTCAGCAACTGCAGACCCCAAAAGTAGTACATAAATAGGTGGAACACAAAATTTTGGACTGGTGCCAATAGTTCATCATGAAAGAAAGGGCTCGTTGAGCTGAGATCACTAACTAATACTAATAGAACCGAAATAGATTTGTCTTTTCTGTATACTCTCCCTGGTTCTGTTGCTACCATGACTTTACGCAATCAATCGGATTATATAGATATCACTTCAACACAACATAGGTCATCGAAAAGATCTCAAAAACCCATCAAAGTACGAAAGCCAAGATCTTTCAAAAAATGGATTCCTGTTAGCTACATTTCGGCAAGAAATCATCTCCCAGATCGATGCTTCACGAGCACAGTTAGTTCTCCAAATCCAACAACAGGGTGTTCTTGGACAAGGACCAAGAGTGTCCACAGCCTCTTCTGGAACCCAATACCATCACTCTCGACCTCGCTCCCTCAAGCTAGATTTTCCACGGCACGCAAGCCCAAACCCAACTGATTGGCTATATGCAATGGATTGTTACTACCAATATTATCAAGTACCGGATGAGGAGCGGTTGATGATAGCTTCCTTCCACCTTGATGCTCCTGCTAGCTGATGGTTCCAAGGGTTAGCCCGAGATGGATTGATTACGAATTAGGACTCATTCACTAATGCTCTCCATAAACGATTTGGGCCAAGGGAGTTTAAAGACCTAGGTATGACACTAACCAAACTTACATAGACCAAGCCCGTCACTGAATACCAAGCCACATGTGAAGACTTATCTAGTCAGGTACCAGACGTCACTCCAACACTATTGAGCAGCACCTTAGTCTCTAGGTTCAAGCTCCAGATATGCCGTTCTGTATTAGCCCAACGACCTTGTAATCTGCATGAAGCTATCTAGCTGGCTTGCATCTTTGAAGATCAAATAGCGGGTGAGTGTTCAACAAAGCCATGGGTTGTGAGACCCCTTCAGGCAGTAGCATCCACAGTTCAACCATCTCGCACAAGTGCTTCAAACACAGTTGTACCAGTCAAGCGCCTTACACCAACAGAGATGCAATCCCACAGAGAAACAGGGATGAAAAAGAGATTATATGAAGGAAAAGATGAGACTTAAACTTCAGCGTATGTTTCTATTCATAACTAGGGGCATATTTATAGCCAAAATACAATATGAAAGCTAATCCAATTCATCGTAGATAATCCTAATCTAGAGGCTGAAGCTAATACTAAAAAATTAAGATAACAATGAATTCAAAATCTATAAATAAGACAACTGAATAAACTAAAGGATAAGCTAAAGGCTGATTGGGTTTAAGTTGTGTAGTCTTCTAGATACCCAGGTCTTCTGGTTTGACGTTTGGGCTGATCCGTTATAGCGACCCCTCCTTCCCCAACGGAGAAGGAAAAAGAAATTGATACCAATGGCTTAACAGTTAAGGATTCTAAATGAATGGATAAATCTGCACAAATTTCTTTTCCATATTTAGTCTCAAGCTTGCTCTGTTCTGTCTATATCCAATATTCTTATCACAACGTCTAGAGCACAAGAGAATAGTTATTGTCAGAATGTTATTCTAAAGTCGCCAAACTAAATCTTATGTTTGATTGGAATCTTTGATAAAACAACACCGACACATGCCTCAGCTGGTTTCTCTTATTAACATGAAGGCTATATTTGAATTGGCGGAAAGAGATAGAATAGAAGGGAATCAAATGAAAATGACTGTTAATTGCCATTGTTCAAATTGTTCAGAAAAGGATTAAAAATAATGAAACCTAATGGAAATTTCTTTCTTTCCTCTAGTTTGGGAAATATAAGATGAAAACAAACATATTGTGTACAAATCTTATTATTCCATTTACTTCCCAATTCATCTATTCTATCATAAAGTATCCAAACCATGGTATAGTAAATTTATTACATTTCAATGCATCCCATTATCTTAAAAAAATTCTTTATCATGAAGAAAGAAAGTAAAGAGAGAAAGAGAAGTTACGATGTGGAAGGTAAATTTTGGGCATGAATGGTGCTGTAAATTTTGGAGAAGCGACCAGTTGGAGGCTTGGATCGGACGGGTTTCTTTCTAAGGCCAAAAACCTCTTGCACCAATGGCACGTGCACCAGCACCAGTTTCCACGCCAACAACCAACCTACAACGCAATTCCCAACTCTTCCTTAAACTCAATTTGAACATCATCAAGAACCAAATAGATAGGGAGGGGGAACGAGAATAAATACCTAGCGAAATTAAGGATAGAACGAACCCTACGGCGAGGAGAGGGCGTAGTACGAGGATTCCCGTGTATTCCCAATAAGACAACGACGACTCCATCTCCATCTCCATCTCCATCACCTTCAAGTTCAACCACTTCACCTGAGTATATTTCTTCTGCTTCGTATGGGCCTTAATGTCATCCATCTGGCCCATATGTATTAATGGGCCAAATGAAACCCAAACTTTAGCCTTTTCATTTATCTACTACCTTTCCCTTTCCCCTTGTGACGAAGTTGTTGAAGCATTTTTTTTTCTTTTTTTTTTCCGGTAAACTGTTGAAGCATCTCTATCTCTATGGAAGCATCTGCTTCAGCACCCAACACTCAACGCCCACGCTTCCGATCTTTCCGCTGCTCTTGTTTTAGACGCTGTTGTCGCTGTTTCTGCTGTTTCTACTCCTAACGCATACCTATTTCTCCATACAACCCAACCCCTTATGTTCCGTAGTGATTGCTCCTCCAAGCTCTCAAACATGAAGAAGAAGAAGAAGAAGAAGAGGGATAGCCTTAGAAGCGTTTATTTGTCAAACAAGCCACTGGTGGCTGTTAAGGTTCTCTGCTTCTCTGTCTTCTCTCGTCTTGTGTTGCTTTTTGTTTCTACCTATTAATGAATTTTTATAACATGATTAAATCTCTGATTTAATTTGCTTTGGAGGTTAGAGGCTGTTGTATAGTTCCTTCCTTGCTTTTAACTATAGTGTAGGTTGGTGTTGCATGGGCAAATTCTCTATAACTAAGGTACTGCTACGAGAGAATTTATTAAAAGCATAATATAAATAAGGGTTTATTGTTTGTGCAGTGAAATGATATAAGATTTTGTACCATCGTTATAGGGAACTATATAATTATAATATTAAATTTTTATTTCTCTTTTTTCGGAAATTTTTCAATATTATAGTTATGTATGTCCATAATACATATTTATAAGAGGTGACAGTATAAATTTTGATATCCTCTGACAGAACACCTGACGAACCCTATAAATAATATAGTTTTCATAATGTTCTAACTAAGTAAGCACAGCACAAATATTTAAAGGAATGCCAAGTTTTTAAACGAGTGAAGTAACTGTTTGTTTCATTTTGTAACAAACCAAATAACTTGGCAATGATGAAACTTGGTGTTGTGCATGGACTAAATTCAATTCAGTAACAGGTGAGTATTGGGTACCCAATAAGCACCGGTGTGGTATCTGGTACGGGTATGACAACTATTTAGATATTCTTTCTATGCTTTTTCCTTATTTCTCCTGAATATTTTCAATCTTAAATGTTCATGAAATTACTTTTGTGAATGAAAATTCTATATAATACTGGGTAATTTCCTTTTAATTCTGTTCGTCATGTTAACTTAATGAAGCAAACTAAGGGTGGTGAGGTTTACTGTTAATTCAGTGGAAGTCAAATTGCTAATGTGGATAGCGAAGCATGCTATAGTCATGCTCGTGTTTCTGATACTGGTCTGGTCTTATAGTATTGTCAATTTAAGAAATGGCATGTGTTTGAATTATTGTACAATTTTAGAACTTTTTCAGTGTTAATATGCTTGTGTGCCTAATATGCTGTCCTTAAATCTTGATAGCCACAGAAGATACTAGTATTGAGTAACCAATAAGCACAGGTGCCAAACACTTATCTGGTACGGGTATGACAACTAATTAAAAGTACCCATGCATCTTGGTAGAGAGAAACGTTAGCCACAGAAGATACTAGTATTGGTAATATCTATGGAGACAATGAAACAAGTCCTGTTTAGTTCTTCTTAAAGCAGGAAGCAAACATAAAAAACAAAATTTAGATATTCTCTTTGTTTTTTCCTGTTTTTCCTGAATATTTTCATTCTTAAATATTAATGAAATTACTTTTGTGAATGAAAATTCTATATCATATTGGGTACTTTTCTTTTGGTTCTGATTCGTCATGTTAACTTAATGAAGCAAATAAGGGTGGAGAGGTTTACCGTTAATTGGGAGTCAAATTGCTAATGTGGATAGCGAAGCATGCTTTAGTCATGCTTGTGTTTCTGATACTGGTCTGGTCTTATAGTATTGTCAATTGAAGAAATGGCATGTGTTTCAATTATGGTTCAATTTTAGAACTTTTTCAGTGTTAATATGCTTGTGTGCCAAATATGCTGTCCTTTTAATTTCCCATTCCACGTGTGAATGTGCTTTCAAGTATATTGACAGCTGTTCTTCACAGGAAGTTGGTATTCCATTTGATTACTGTGATATTGTTACCTCTACAACCCACAAAAGTCTCCGAGGTCCAGGGGGAGGCATCATCTTTTATAGAAGAGGGACAAAACCCAGAAAGCAACGCATGGTTCTAAACCGTGGAGATGATAGTACTTATGATTTTGAGGAAAAGACAAACTTTGCTTTATATCCATCATTACAAGGAGGTCCTCACAATAATCACATTGCTGCTCTTGCCATTGCCTTAAAACAAGTTAAAACTCCAGAGTACAAAGTATACATGCAACAGGTGAAGGAAAATGCAAATGCGTTAGCATCTGCTTTGTTGAACAGAAAATGCAGATTAGGGACTGATGAGACTGACAACCATCTGTTGCTTTGGGTTCTGACTACACTCAGATTAATTGGTATTTTCTGCCTCTACTTTTTGTAATATGTCTTAAAAATTATAAAAGCATTTGAATTGATTTTGCTGTACTTTCCTTAATAATAAAAATTATTATTTGATACGCCATTGGTGGAAAATAATGCAACTATATCATCAAATTAGATTTTATTATTTCTTTTCTTATCAAATTAAAATTTTATGATTTTGTTATATGTCTAGAAATTAGAAAATAAAGACTAATAATATTTATATAGAGAAAAATACTTATTAGGGGGAAGTTCAAACAACTCTGATTTGGCTTGTTTTCACTTTACCAGCTATTTGTTTAAAACATATTTTCTCCTCTTGCTAACATATCACCCCTTTAGGTTTTTCTTCAGTTTTTTTAACTGATCAAGCGACCCCGGTGACCAAGCTGGACATGAATTGTGAAATATTAGTAGTTGTTTTTTTTAGGGTAAATGTTTCATTTTTAGATGTACTAAATTGGGTTCTTGTTTTCTAAAATCATATTGTTTTTTCTTTATATAGGCCTTTAATTGGTGTCAAAAATCTAAGATTTTAAGCAATACATGTAAGATTTTTAGGTTTAAGGATAGGTTTTGACCAAGAACTTGGCGGATTGAAAGTTGATTAAAAATGTCTTAAACTAGGGGTTTGTTGGAAGATATATAAAGATTAAGCACAAGATTTCGGGAGCTGTGAATACTTCTTATGACATAAGGTTTGGTGGTATAATGTGGGCTATTGGCCATTTTTTTTTTGGGTCCTTGCCCCTTGGCTTTTGGGCCATTCAGCATCAAAATCAACATCATATATATCTCAAATTAGTTGGAGTCAGCGGTCGATGGACCCAAATAAAAAGGAAAAATTTTTTTGAGAGAAAAGAAAAATAAATGAGAGAAGAAATAAATAAATAAATAAAGTGAGAACTTTATTGAATTGTAGTCTTTTGCACCAATTCAAGTGAAACAAATTATAGTCTTATTATACGCAGGAAGCCATAAACTTATAATTTTTGTTTGGTTATGAAGACAAATCCAGCCAAGGGCTGTGCAAAATAACTGAACTGCATTTTTTTGAACCAAATTGGAGTTATAAACTAGTTTAAAAACTGAATCGAACCAAAAGAACTGATTTGGAAAACCGGTTCGAAACCAATTCAGAACTGGTTTGCATATCCAAACGGATCCTAAACTGGTTCGGAACAGCTTATAAATCATAACCTGATTTTGAAACATGAATCGGTTCTGAACTGGTTCCAAAACGGTTCAGGAAAAATAAAATTAGTTCGGATTAAATAAAATAGTTTGGTTTTTTGAACCGAACAGGTTCTGTTTCAGTTCAACAAAAAAACCAGTTTGGGTCGAACCATGCCCACCCTTAGATCCAGGAAATACTTAAAATTATAGTAAACAGATGAGAAGTTAAAGATAGAGGGGATAAATAGCTTAGGTTTCATGCCTATAATATCTAAACTAGTCTAGGCTTTAAATAATTGAATTTTATAATTTTGTTCATATAACACTACATCTGTTTATGGTTCATACATCACTCTCAACAAATGTGCCATTTATGGTTTCATCTCTCCTATATGTCTGAAATTCTGGTATAGTTCCAAATTATGTGATTTTAATTAAGAATTTATTGAACTTCTGATTATTTTTTTGCAGCAAGTCCTTGATCTAAATATCTAAATTTAATTAATCAGTCTATTGAAACTAAAAAAATTCTCTAAATTCAATCAATTTCAGTTGGCAGCTACTTCCACATATTAAGCAAATGTTCATTCAAGCCACTTTATGTTATCCATATTCAGGTACTCCTGCAATGGCATCAAGAGGCTATTCAGAAGATGATTTTGAGACGATAGCTGATTCTCTTTTTAGGGCAGCTCTGCTAACCTGCACTGTGCAGAGGGAACATGCGAAATCATTGGAAGATTTTCTCAGGAGTCTTCAGAATAATAAAGATATTATTGAGCTCAGAGATGGAGTTGAGACGTGTGCTTCCAGAGTTTGCAATGCCAGGATTCAGTATTTGATTTGAACTTCAAGAGTCAGCTGCCTCCATACATCCATTACATCAATATGATACGTCTTGGCTTACCACATTTTGCGTGGTAATACATTAGGTTTTGTTCCTAGCTCATATTTCCACAAAGTTAGCTCGTGTAAATTATACATGCAAATTGAAGTAAGATCATATTGCCATGGTCATACATCACGCTGAGTAACTGTCTGCTTAGTGCTGACATTGATATTGTACAAAGATTTACCTTCTCCCCAACCACAACTTTTTTCTTCGTTTAAGAAACTTGTTTAGGATAAAGATGATATTGATGTTGATGTTATAAAGAAACTTTAGTAATTACATGACAATGCTATAACAGGAAGTACATAGAGGTTTTACTTTTTAGTGCTCATCTTGATACGTCATTTGAAGCGTGCATGATATTATTTTATTTTATTTTTAAGTACATGAATTTTTTTGTAGTCATCTGGATATATTGTTCTCTGCTTATTGCTTTTTCTAGAGCTTAATTGCTTGTGGTATAGGTGAATTGAAATTTGAGAACACCATTTGATTCTACCTAAGAAGCTGTCATTGTTTCTCCATTGAAAATGATACTTTTTAAGCGGTGGAATGGCTGTTCATCTTACTACTAGTCATTGCTTTATTGGAGGGTGGCTCCCCAGAACACCATTTGTGCCCTGTTTGGCTATCGGCATGCTGGACTTTCGACATTATATTACTCATCTTTTTTGTCTGCCTGTTTGCTGCTTAAGCATTATTTTATTATTTCGTTAAAGCAGTACTCATATGAACCCTTGTAAGGAGGCAAGGCATGAATTTCCGGCAAAGGACAAAAAGCATGAGATACGGTTAGAAATGAGAAAGTGACCGCTGAGAGTTTGTGATAATTAAACATACCCCGAACCCCAACAAAGGACAGTTGAATAATTTTGAAAGAGAGGGAAGACTTGTCATGCTATGGTGAGAATTTTTCATCATCACCACCATTGCTTTCAAGGAATCAGACAAGAGCTTCCTAGCAGCAAAAGAAGTGTGCTTCTGACGTTAAAGCAGTTCAGGAATCTTTAGAGTGCACCCTATAGTCCTAAGCTTTCCTTTCTATTATTTCTGGAGTAGAATGATTAGTCATTTACTATAACAACTCACGAGAGCACCCTTTCAAACTCAATGCTTTAGAGGAAAATCTGTCACGGCCAAAGAAAAGGAATTTAAAAATCGTCTGACACTCTTACTTTCTTTGGTCATTTGTGTTTATCATACTTTCTTTATGGGGTTCTTTCAACATTTGATTTTTGGGGTTAGTCCCTTCTACGTTTGTTTTTTATCCCCCAACTGTAATTAGAGGAGGAAAATTAGTTTGGCATAAAATTTAGCTTACGAGTGCAAGACAATTATCAATATTTGTTTTCAAACCCAGAACCCATTCAATTTCTTTTTCAACTGCCAACTAACTCTTTTCTTTTCTTTTTTTTGGGTTACAACTTACAACTACGGTAACTAACTTGGTAAACAACAAAAAGACCACAAGAGAGGGGAAGGAAAAAAGAAAGAAAGAAAGAAAGAAAGATGATAAGAGGGTTAAAGGTACAAACAATCCGCATCAACTGAGAAGTGAGTTGCTAGTGATTTTCATTTACTCTACTCTGTTTTAGTTACTTGTTTGGTTGTATCTTGATAACATAATCATCACTCACTTTCACTCATGATGCTTGCTAGTTACCTATGACTGCAAAAGTCCAAAAGCTTCTTCCTCCCTTCCACAATCTCATCAAAGAAATCATCAAGCTGACAAATAATGTTCTCAGCACCAGATCTGAGCACCCCAATACACACGCTGAGGCTCTCTACTCTTTCTCTAACACCAACACCAACACCAACACCAACCTCCGTCTCCAATTCCCCTCTGAGCTCCTCCATCGCCACCCTCGACCGCCTGAACTCATACAACAACATACCCGGCGGCGCACCACTCATCTCCGCCGCCACCCTCTGCTGCAACCTCGCCGCCGACACCATCAACCCGGACCCCAGGAACAACCGACCCTCGTACCCTCCGAGAACGAACTCCGATGTCTCGGGGAAACAGTAGACCAAGCCGTGTAACAGAATCATGAGCAGCATGGAGCTAACGTTCCTCATTGCATACAAAACCCCCCTGAAACCGTTAAAGCCGTTGAGCTTCGATTCCACAGATACCCTCTCATCGAAACGCAGGGACATTGGGTGAATCCTCGTTTCCATCAAAGCACGGTTCTCCTCCTCCAACCCCACAGCTTCTCTTCGACACCCCGATATGGCTCTTAGAACCTGAAAACGACAACATCGTATTGAGTCACATGAAGAAAACATTATCTAATGTCCCAAAGAAAATAAATAAATAAATAAAAAACTGATTTTTTTTTTTGGGTACCTGGCGCGAGAGTTGTGGAGTGAGGTGGGTGTGAGAGTCGAGGGAGGAAGTGATGTTGATGCCTGCAGAGTAGTAACCTTCGATGTTAGAAATGCCAGACTTGAGGACGTGGCATGTTTCCCAAAGTTTGGAGCTTTCGTCCATGTACTCGTCGAGCCACTTGTCTCCAACTGGGAGGTGGAGCTTCTGAACCAGAAGGGTGAGTTGGTTGTGGAAGGATCGAAGGAGTGAGAGTACCCTTTGGAGAAATTGGATTGACATGAAGTTTGTTGAGATGAAGGCTCTGTCTAGGTCCTCAATTCCTCTGCTCAGGAACGTGTAGAAGCCATTCGCTGAATTGGTGTTAGTGTTGGTGGAAGAAGGACAAGGGTCCATTATGTGAGTGAGTGAGTGATTGTTGAGGCTTTGATAAGATTGTGAAAGGGAAGGGAAGGGAGGGAGATATTTAAATTGTGAGAGAGAGAGAGTGGAAGCATGAGGTTTTAAGCAAAAGAAGGGAGAAGAAGAAAAAAAAAAAAAGGTGGAAAAGAATGGAAGATAGGGAATATCTTAGAAGCTCAGGTTTCTAAGGTTAAAAAGGATTGTTGGGGGCAATGATGGGTGTTTCCTGCAGAGGGGAAAGGATGATTGGTAATATGCCATTTTCGTTGTTTAAATGGGCACAAAGGAAGAGAGGTAAAAATGAAAATCGAAAGAGATTAATAATGATCGGCGAGACAGTAGAAAGAGATACTAGTCAGGTCAATTACTACAAAGTCATCTTTAGTTGCATCTTTCTCTATGTTTCTGTCTAGTTCTAGCTTTAAACAAATAATTCTCTCCAATTTTATTCAAATGACTTATTATTAATTATGTGTATTAATAGCAAGAACCCCGTGGGAGAGGGTGCAAGTAAGTGAGATTGAGGCTTTCATGGCTCATGCAAGGTTTGACTGGTCTTCGTTTTTACAGCATCCAATTTTTCATTCTGATACAGGTCACCCTTTTGTTTTGACATTGAGTGAGATCTTTGGCTGCTTCTTTCCTCATTTTCTTCCTCGAGCTACTGAATTTACTACTCTTCTTCCACTATAGTCTATTGAAATTTGCAGTTTTGTTTTTTCCTAGATATATATTGTTCTCCTCATACGGAGGACTGGAATAATGAGGTTGCTCTTACCTGTGTCTTCCGTAATCTTCTACCACACACAACTAAGCCTTTTTTAAACCATATCTATTCTTTTCACCAGTTAAATTAAGTATTCCATTATCTTTGATATTGGAACCAAAAAAAGAATGATGCTTCCTCATGCCCTTTATCAATCTTGGTCCTTGGATTTGAATTTATTTAATTCCAAATTCTTACTTCGAAATACTTTTATCCAAACCAGAAGTATCATTGTAATGGTATATTATCCACGGCTCTGACAATAATTTTATCTTCTACACACACATAAACATAAAAATATGCAGAGTCTATAGAAGAGAGAAAAAAATATATTCTTGCATACTTTTATATGTGTACAAGAAATAAAAATTATTTCCTACTTGTTTATATATATCCACGCTATTGATTGAGTAGGCCTTACTACCCCATCAAAGCGACAGATATCGGTTGAAAAAACGATTTTAAACTGTATCTGCTTTGTGATTGTGCAGTATTGCAACTGGGTCCCATAATACGGGTATCATAACATGGGTTTTAATGGATTGATTAATTTTAGTCACTAATTGATGGCCACGAAATGTTTCGGGTAAAGACACCACGAGTATTTTCCTTCTCTTAATTCTCTTTTCAAAGAATAGTGTTATATTATGTACGCGATTCTTCATGTGGACCTTTTTTTATCTTTTTTTTTTTTTTTTTTTTCCTAGTTGGGAGAGTGGGGAATGGGGGACCTTACAATTTAATAATGCATTGGGGTATGTACTATCTTATACAATTTGGTTAAGACGAGTGCTCGTGGGTTTTTGGAGAATGGGACATCTTAGAAGCATGTTGGTCTTCTAAGATTACATTGGAAAGTGAATAAGGATATAGGGATAGATAGAGAAGAAGATTGCAAAAGAACATTATCATGCGCACCCCTCGTATTGACTCAGTTAACCGAAGTCAGCTTAGATAAATCTGTCCTCTATAGTTTATAATAATTCGAGTTAATTCATAAGGTGTAAATGCAAATATTTTTATAACATTTTAATTATATGTTGCATATATTATAGAATTTTATTTTATTTCATTTTTTTATAAGTATTATCAAAGTTAAACTCTTTTCAATAATATGATAACATATAATAAAAAAAGGGAAATCAGTTTGCCATGTTGTAGGAATGATATTGTTTCGTCCTGCAACAGAATCTGATTCCGTATCCTGACTTTTTTAACAGGATTCGATTTCGAATCCTGATTTTTTTCTAAGTGTGGGACCCACGTTTGATTTGTGTGTGCAAGTAAGAAACTCTTGTCATGTGACATAACAAAAAATGAACCCTAAAAAAAATGCAATGAAACCATATAACCAAAATCCCAACAAACTATCAATGCTTTAAAAAAAAGAAAAAGAAAAAGGAATTGAAAGCTGGAGAAACTACCCTACTTAAATGGCAAAAATATGCCCAAGCTTATTTGGTTAAAGGGAAATCATACATGAGAAGAATTATCTCACGTAGCAGAGATAATATCATAAGCAGGACTCACAGGCCAAAAGCAAGAGGAGAGAAAATAAAAATAAAAATGAGATTTACCTTTATTTTGTGCGTATAAGAACTTGACTTTTGTTATGTAAAACGAGATAAATATAACCTTGATTAAAAGTCTACTTTAAATCAAAATCGCATTCTTAATAATTTTTCTTGTTCAAGTGGGATGGCATGAGACAAAATTTTATTGGAGTTGTGCAGAATATAGGAGAAAGTTTAAGTTATTTCAGGAGGATATTTGATGGCTTAAATTTATGACATTCTTTTAACTTCTTCAAGATCCGGTAGAGTGGAGTGTGGTCCCACTATGATTTTAGCATGAAAAGATTGAGATAATTCGTGGTTAATCAGCCATGATTATCTCAACAGTTGGTATCATCAGTTGGATTTTTTGTGTGTGTATAAACTACAATTGAGATAATTATATTCGAGTCAGAAACATTTACATTATAATGTGGTTAGTTTTCCTAAAAGAATTTTTTTTATATTCACAATGACTTAGATGTATACGTGCTTATTGTGTATTAACTTTGTTGTGCACCTATTTTATTCGGAATTAACTGCATTAGTTGTGTAATATGTTTGAAATTAATATTATTTTGGAAAAATTTAATTTTAATTACGACATTTAGGTTTCTTTAGTTAAACATCATGTGTTTATTAAGGTGCCGTTTTAAAACTTCAAACAAAAAAGTTGTGACCCCTTCCATTAATTCTTGGGAGCGAAGTAAAACGTATAAGGAGAATCCAAACGTTGCTTAATGAGAAGGGGTAACAGTGGATGTAAAATTTGGTGGTGGGTAATCATCTATAGCTAGGAAAGATGCCGTTTCCTCAAGCGGATAGCAGAACAGTCTTATGATTCATGTGAGATTCAATAAAAATAACAAAAGTGGAACAAGTTTGTTACCAAAAAAAAAAAAAAAAAACACTAAAGTGGAACAAGTAATTTTGCAATGTACAATGGCTACCCTTATTTGGGCCCATTCATTAATTATTAGAGGGAAGGATTTGCCAGGCCAAATGTCTGTCATCCTCGTCATGAATTTTACCCAGAAAGTCTCTGCAAAAGAATATTTCATTTTCTTAATAATGCTCTTCTTAATTAGATGTATACACATGGATGGTCCACAGCTTCTAAGGAGTGAACATGATACAAAATAGTTATTGTTATGTATCATGTAACACAGGTAAAAGTGGGTGAAATTTATCAGAGAAAAAAGAGAAAAAAATAATTGAGCCTCATCTATTTTTATTTTTATTTTGTGTTACATGAGATAAATTGTCTCATGTAATAAAAAAAAATTATATTTCTTTGTTAATTAACATAAATTTAGTTGGAATTGACATTTAAAAGGAAATAGAAAGTATCATGAGCATTGGAGAGAGAGAAAAAGTGTGTGTATGTGCATGTGAGTGAGTGAGTGATATTATCCAATTAACTATTTGAGCAAAGGTGGGTAGGGCAATGGAGAGGGTGTAAGGAGGATGTAGCTTCGTAAGACTAATCTTGACAATTTGTTTGCATTATTAATTCCCAATTTACTAAGAAAAACTTCAATCAACCGAGAGCACAAAATTTGGTGCTCTCTTTTATTGAATAAGGAAAAAAAAATTCTTTTTACTCATGCTTTTTTTTTTTTTATACTTTTTTGTAAGTCTTAAATTTTTTTCCTATTTAGTAAAAAAGAGCATCGAGTTCGGTGCTTTTGATGTATTGAAGTTTTTCTCCAATTTATTTGGGTTTCTATGGGACCACTGACACCACTGACATTCTTCCTGACCTTAAATTCTGATATGGTAGCACTTTTTCGGTACCACCGATGTACATATCGGTACTCAAAATAGAAAACTTTGAGGACTAACAGAGAAATACACAAAATGTATGAATTGAAATGATATAAGATTTTTCTAATTAAGGAAAATAAGAGTATTAAATTCAGTACTCTCATAATATTAAAAAAAAATATCTGATATGGGGTTTCTTTGAAAGCCCACTTTGATTTAAGAGTCACGACAATTATAAGTCTAGTGCAAAGCAAATTAGTTTAGTGATATATAGTTAGATTTTAAGATTTGATATATTTAAATTTTGAACAATGATTGGTATTTATTAAAAAATAAAATTTGCTAAAGCTATTAAAATATAAATTCATGATCATGAGAGAATCATTTAGCATAATGGATGAAAAAAGATAATCGTTAATATTGTGAAATGTGTTAATGTATATTTTGTAACTGTGACTATTTATTTTAAAGAATTTGAAATTATAATATGTAGTATTATTTAATGTTATAAAAATCGAACTAGTGATCAATTCGGTCGGGGTACTAGGTCAGTGAATCACTAATTCAACCGGTGGTTTACTGATTAAACTGCTTAATCTGAATTTATAAGAAAGTATATAATAAATATTATAATAGTGATAAAATATCTCAAATGAGGGATTGACATAGCGGCCGGTTGGTGCCTCTTGCTTTATACTATGTCATCTGATTCAATGCATAAAATAGTTTTTTAAAAAACATTACAATTGGTTCAACCGTTAAACTAGTCCAGGTTTTCACCGGTGGGTCTCAAGCGAGTCACTGATCTGTTATTGGTTCGCATGTATATACGGTTATTCATTGGACCAGACTAGTTGGGGATTCGATTTCTGGGCCAACAGATTGGACCGACGGGTCCTATCCAATTTTCACATCACTGGTATTATTAAATTAAACTTATAAATATATAACATATAACCGCGTTTATAATATATAATGAACCCAAATCCGTGATAACAGAACTCTCATGAACATAGTTTAGTAAAATTGACATAACTCGAGCTACAGATGTCCGATTTGAGCACGATTTGAATCCACGCGAAGCTAACAGCCAGAGAGATCTATAACATGGTGTGAGATGAGAACTAT